ATCAAATGTGCAAAAAAAAGTGGATTTCCTGCTAGATCATAGAAAGTGCACCCTCCCAATTAAGATGGACCTTCCTCTAGATCGGGAAGGTGCATCGTCGATCCTTTCTCTCACTTGACCTTGTAGTCACGGCCCTCGAGTGCAGATCTCGACACTCGTAGTGTGTGCACTGCTTCATTTGTCAAACCAACTTCACCAATTTATTTGCCCTATTGGAAAACCACAGTTTGACACCCTTTTGGGTCAAACTTTGGAAAGTAAAGTGAGTTTCACAACCCTCCCCTACTCCTTCAAACTTTTTTTTTTGTTTGCCTCTGCTGTTCTCCCTTCTCATTGTTGCTAACTTTACTTTCCAAACTCCCTCATCATCCAACCCCTCTGTATAACCTCACAAAACATGAATGCACCCGACCTTTCGCACGACCAGGTTCAGTTGAAGTCACGGGGGTGAGGATCTTGGGTTGGGATAAGACCACGACGATGATCACGCTTTGAAGCTCAAAGCAATCAACACAAACATGGCTAGGCCAAACTGACCATAAGCACGATCTTGCAACCAACTTAGTGGCTGCCACCGAACCTTTGTCTGAGTACTTACCCATCACGCGAAATGAAAACGAATCTTTCGCTACAAAAGGGGAAGATTCGTCGCCAAGGAAAATGTTAATTGTTCCGCCCACTATCGAACAAAGTTGAGAATGAATCTTTTACTAGAACATGGGAAGATGCATGCCTCTTACTCACGTCCACTACCACAATGACATTTACGAAGACAAGCAGGCTGATGACGAGGGTATGACGATCTTGATGGTAATAAGCACAAGGACGAATAACACTCGGATCGAGACTACGACCTCGACCAGCACTTGCACGCGCACAATAACAACCTATTGTCCGAGATGAACAACGCAACCAACAACCAGACAACTAATGAAGTCGATTACCACAAAACAAGAATGTGTAACACTATGATGACGAGCGAGCCTTTCGATCCCAATGATGATACACGTGGGTATGGCCACACATCACTACTCACCAAATGCACGGAATGAGGATTTATTTTTATGCTAAAACAAGGGAAAATGCATCCCAAAGGTAGGTACTCTTTCTCTCTCTCTCCTCTCTTCCGTCACCTCGTCAACCTTTTTTTCCTCTCTTTTTTCGACTCCTCGTGAAAAACTAACATAACTTCTCATTAGCGCACAGGCGGCTCAACGACCTCACGCACACCAAGAAAACAACTCGAAAACTTTGAGTTGTCGAACCAGTAATCTCTTATAGCTGACCTAAACAAAAAACCCAGGCGCCAGTGATGCCTTTCCCTCTAAACCTACCTCCTACCACGGGCAGATTCGACATGTCGCCCTTGCACAGGGATCATGTTAATCTACTCTATATTGTTTCAATTTTAATGGATGTCCCGAAGGATCCAGGCTGAGGGTCACGACCTGAAATACCATCTTCGATCCGGCCAGTTCTAGGTATCTCATAATTATGTTATACTGAGTATTTGATTGCAGTCGAATTCGACCTTGAGTCTGTATTTTAACGGTTCATGGGGGTACCGACTGAGCTAGGCTCTTAGGTATCAATGTTGGCCTTGGTACTGGTGTTGGAACCGAGTCTCGAAAGAAAAGCGGGAAAACTAAAAGTAAATTAAATAATAAAAAAAGAAATAAAAGGGAAAATGAGGAAGAGGAAAAAGAGGAAGGACTGCGGGAACCCCACCTTTTGCCCTTCCAATTGGTCTGTGCCTGGGACGAGCAATAAAACTGAAGGGGATAGTCCCGTTGGACCCTCAACCCCTCGGTTCCCGTTAAGCTGCTCCTTCGCTCGTTTTTTGCAGATCGCTGGCCTCGATCCTCAAATCTGCAAGGTGAAAGTCCGACATAGTAACCAATAGTGCTAGGCCCAAGGCTGAAACAAACACTTGCAAAAATCCATATAAACAAGTACTAAGTTGTACTTAAGCCTACCGAAATGCCCCAAGGCCACACCTTCACCTACAAACCGATCCCACGGCCGCCGAACCATGACACCTTAGCCGCACGGTAGCCCGATTCTACCCGTAGCTTTGTGCACGCACATTGGCCAAACAAAAATAAAATTTTAGATCCTAAAATGATAAAAAATAGATAAGTTTTGAATCAAAAGTGACGGGTTACGACACATAAAAAACCGTGTGCGCCTTAAACTTGCGCGCCCACACACTCTCACACAAACTTTCAAACATATTGCTATTTCACAAAAAGACAACCTGACCACAACGTTGCACGACACATTCAATTTTCGAATAAACAACCTGTTCCTATTACTTGCAAGGATATTCATGCCGACATTAGGGCGCCCAACGAATGCGTCGGAATTTTTTATTTTTTTTTCTCTCTTCTTTTTATTTTCATGGCGCTGCCGTTTGATTCTTCACACGCCCTGTTTCTTTGTTTTTCGCTAGTTTTTTTCATTTTTTTTTTCTTCTTGTTTTTAATTAGTTTTTCGATTTTTTTTATTTTGCCCGATCCTTGGGTAGCTACCGGGCTGCCAAAGAAAGATCGCGTCGTGTTAATCGACGTGCATTTGTTTTTAAAGCAGGAAAGGTACTGGTGGTTTAAACCACCAGTACCCCAGGGGTTCTTAGGAACCTTCTGGGGAGGCTGTGAGGCAAATGCATATGAACCTGCGAGGTGCACCGATTCAGCCACCGCGTTAACAGCCTAAAAATGTGGAGGTACTGGTGGTTTAAAAGTTAGTTCACTCTTCTCGAACAGAACGCATATGCGTTGTATTCAAACACACAATATATGTTTTTTATTTGAATTTCGAAAAGGAAAGACTCTCGTATTAAAAAAAGAATATTAACTTTTTGTTTGTTTTTTTAGGCTAGTGCCTGTCCTTATGTTTCACATTACTGACATAGTGCATGCTGCAGGGCTCTCTCTCTCTCTCTCGCTCACACACACACATACATGCACACACTCTCACGTACACACAAACTCTCACATACAACATACACACACTCATATGCATACACACACACACTCCGACAGTCTGCTAGGATTGTTGGGTTGGTGTGAGTCAAGTTGACCAGTTTTCTTAGGCATATCCCTAACTTTGGGCGATGTGGTAGTCCTTATCGATTATTCATATGCATCCTAAGCAGACTTCGGGGTTCGACCTCCTGATGAGTCAATGAAAGTTCGATGAAACAATATGGCACAGTCATGATTTTTGTTCGTCCCCCGTCAGGGTTGCGTTTTATGCCCTTGAGACCTTCAACTTTAACTTTCAACGTCTGTGGTTGTCCGTGAGGGTGGGCAATTTTGAGGTGAGGGCTTAGCAAAGTGCGAGGCATATGAAGGACCTGAAACTGCCCGTAGGAGGCTGAGGAGGCCGCGGTCCTTGAGTTGGACATTTCAAAATCGAAACGGCGCGGGAGGCCGAGGAGGCCACGATCCTTGAGTTTTGAACAGTTTGAAATCGAAACGGTGTGGGTCCACTTTTCTCAAATAGAAGAGCACTTTGAATAGAATATGCGAATAGAACGTGTGCCCTTTTTATGCGCATTAAAAAAATAAGTCTTGTATTCCAATAGAACATTACCTTCTCTTTTGTTTTTGGAGGTCAGCACCCTGCCACTAACATGTTGCATGCTGCAGGGCTCTCTCTCTCTCTCTCTCTCTCTCTCTCTCTCTCTCTCTCTCTCTCTCTCTCTCTCTCTCTCTC